TGTAAACATTTTTGTTTCCACAACAAAATGTCTTTAAAAAAAAATGTTCACCAGGAAGAAAAAAATTTTGATTCTGCAGATCAAATCAGGACAGTCAAAATGATTAATATGACATCGATGAAAGCTTGCAAAGTAGGCTTAATTTCTGTGGCAAAAATCTTGTGGATTCATCAGTGCTTGGTTGTGCCTGGAAATTCAGTGGCAGCTGGAAATCTGATGGTGACCTCTGATAAGTGAGAAAATGGTGAAGGTTTTAATGAATGACTTGAATAAGAAAATAAATAAGCCAGTCTGTACAGTATTCTTTCTGCTATTTGTTTTGCTATTAAGTTCACTTAATGCAATTTTCCTTGTCTCGTGACGCTTGTGTTGACAACACATCACAACATATTAGCATTTCTGGGAGTTTGGCTGTCTGGGAAGGGGATACACGGGCCTTTAGACACACAGGTAGAACAGGGACACTTTTGTAATAGGAAGTAGTTTGGAAGCCTTTGGCTGGGTAACGTCATAGATCGTAAAGACAGATAGGATCCTGGTGATCATCTTTGTTCTCTGCTGTAACACAGGTCATAGGACTTAACTGAATTCCTTTCTGTCCAAACTAGAACATATTTTTTTTTTAGGGAAAAAATCTGATCTTGATATACATCTAGAAAACAGGGATGGAGAATTAATCACAAACTTTGGTAAAATTGCTCACACGGTTAATTACCTTCCTTGCTAAAATGTGCAGTCTGATCTTATCCTAAGATTACTTATTTGCAATGTTTGTTCCTTGGCTCTTTGCTGTGAGGTTTAGAAGCCTCCATTATGAAACGTTGATTTCCCAAGCAAGTATGTATAGGCTGCGATTGAGTCACCTGTTAACCTTAGTCTGGATAAGCCCAGGCTAAGCTCCTTGTTTCTTTCACTATATGGCACGTTTTCAAGACTTTTTTCATTCTCACTGTTCTTCACTGGACCCTTTCCAATTCAGTAACTTCCTTCTGAGTTGTAGCACCAAGACTGTGTTTATCATTCTGGTAGTGGCCATCTCCCAAACTGTTGACCACCAGCTGCACTCTGAGATGCAACGGAGATGCCATTCAAGTAGAGAGCAATGGGAACTCCTTCGGACTGGCCTCCATCTGCAATATGGACCCGCCTGGGCCTGATCAGGAGACCTCTGGGGTCAGTAGGCTACCTGAGAGAGCCACTGGAAGCTGATGCCAGAACCTTGTCCAAGGCATAGCAATGCTTTTGCCAGCTTCTAGAACAATAGGGACTATATAAAAGCTGCTACTTTCTTAAAGCATACAGTAAACACTATAATTCTTGCCTTTCTGCAGGGTGCAGAGAAATGAAACCTGCAATTGTTCTGGTTCTTGAATTTGTTCATCGCAATGATTTATCAGGTAAAATGCTCACTGAAGACCTTGCAATTGATTAGAACTGTGGGTTTTCAATCTTTTGTATTGTCTGGTGCCTTCCACATTTTCCAGGGAAGATACAGCAAATTAACAGTCACAGTACAGTTACTTTTCTTGGTTAGGTTGCAGAGACTATTCAGAGAGAGTGCACAGTTCCCCCAAGGATCTCCAGATCAGTGGTTGGAAACCTTTGAACTAAAATATACGCAGAGGTAACATAAATCCTGCAAATGTTTTTGTCCTTCACAAAAAGACACTATGCCTATTTATTTTTTTCCTAAAGCATATTTGGTGCTTGGATGACCATCCCAGTAAGGCTTCCCAAGTTTCCTCAGCAGTTTCAGATCCCTGCAGTTCATCCAGACATTCTGCAATTCTAATGTGGATGTGTGACCTTGCGGATCAGGTGTAGGCCTGGAGAACAGGGCAAAATTTCCCTTTTCAGTTTCCCTTGACAGTTGCTGACTTTGATCAACTTTTTTCCCGCATGCTATAGCAGTCAGGTAGCTATCCTTGTCTTCCTTGGATCGCCCTCCAGACAGTGAGCCTCCCTGTTTGCACAGGCCCTTAACCAGGGATAGAAATACTAAGAACATATTTGGCAAACATATTCAAGTGATACAGAAACCTTAAGGAAAATGAGGGGAGAGAGAATGTTCTTCCTCTTTAAATACGAGATTATATTTTGAGTATGTGGGCCTGTGCAGAAGCAGATGCTTTGGCCCATTCATCAGAAGATGGTTGGAATAATCCCTAAATAACCTTGACTAATGCATAATGAGCTAATGGCACCTTTTGGAAGCTCTTCAATACAATATAATGTTCAAACCTTGATCCCGTAACTAAGTTCATTTTAGGGCTCCATGAACACAAAACTGCTTACCTGATTTAGGAACCCATGTCAGATTTTTGAGAAGGAATTCAGATGTTTGTGACTGGACCCACAAAGGTATTTAGGTACTTTGTTCACTCTGAATCTGATGGGAGAGAAGTGATTACCTTTGCCAGTCTGAACTTTTACTTCACCAAGTCAGCAAGGTTATAAAGTTCCCACCCTCACGTCCCTAGAGGTTAGGCACTCCCTGACAAAGGGAAAAGGGAATAGAATTGGTGACTGCATCTTGGTCACTTTAATGCTAAGTCTAACAGCTTGGCTCTGGGTGCTAGATATGATCTAAACCTCCTGACTTAGAGTGAAGCAGATCAAGGGTATACATATTTTCTGCTCAGTGCTCACCTGAGGGGATTGTAATGACTAGTAAAGCAGCAGAACAAACTTTTGGGCACAATAAAATCCTACAACAAAAGTATTATTATCTATTAAAGCTTGAAGGTTTTTGTTTGTTTTTTAATCAAAAGAACTTATGTACTTAAAAATGTTTACTCCACTTTATACAAGTTTGAACTAACTGGCATGGTTGTTCTGTGCCAGGCACAAAGGACTACAGGAAAAGATACTTATATTTAAAATGCTCTGTCATACAAAATGTATCCCACAGTCCTTCACAGTATATTCAATTAGAAAATTTGTCAACAAAATATTCATCTGCAAGTGAGTAGGCACTGTGAAGCAAGGTTTGGATGAGAAAGTGTGATGGAAGAGACTGCTTTACTGAGAGACTGTGTCGGGGAAAGAGGAACAGCAGATACTGGGTGATCAAGGGAACCACAGAGAGAAAAACTTGATCTGTATGATGTGGTGGATTTTGAAAACTGGGAGAGGGTATTTGTTGCTGTGATGTAAGCTTCCATACCAGAAGGAGAGTAGAATTTAGACCAGAAGAGGTCTGAGATTTATTTCAGCAGAGAGAGATGAAGAACAAAGATGTCTTCTTTTTTCAGCTGATTTGGCTAAGAAGGGGATGATTGAGACAAGTAGATTTAGAAGTCAGAGGTGCTGGCAGAGTCTCTTTCAAATTAATTACCAAATCTAAATTTATTTTCTATATTCAGCAACAGAACAGAGAGGAAATATATGAGATTATTTTAAACTCATTTGGCCTCCAACATATTTACTTTCTAGAAAGATAGTAAAGAAAATATTGACACGCTAGGCTTGACTGGATCTTTCATTTCGTAGAGCATGGTTATTTACTCTTACATTCAACTATGTATTTCTCCAGTCAGTGCAGGAATATACTCAGAATTGTGGAAGGATATTTACTGTTTCTAGAAGTCCTTGGACACCTCAGCAAACTTTGTCTTGTTTCTCTGCCCAAGAGCTATATTTAGACACTTTGCTCAATTGAGGCATGAACAGCTGCTCCTACTCAGATGTTGTGTGAGCAGAGCTAAATATTTTTAAGCATTAAAAAGTTACAACATAACTTGAGCCATTTTGCTTTGGAAGAAGTATGTGCTTGTATAGTTGGGTAGTAACAAAGGAAAGAGAAGCTACCTGAAAGGCACATTAATTTGTACTATTTCTTAGTTTGAAACCAACAACGACTGGTAGATATAAGTATACCTTTAAGAAACTTTAAGACTCATTAACACCTTTGTGAAGTTAACTTGCTTACTTTTCAGGTTACTCTGTTCTTCAAATTGCGGCTTATCTGGAAAATCATGGGTTAGGAAGATATACTGAGAGCAGGGAGTTATGGGAATGATGGGATGTAGACAGCCTTGTAGACGAGGATAAGGATCTTGGATTTAAAACGGTAAAGAAACAGATTTCTATTGAGTGGGGAGTCGGTTTAGGAGGACAGAAGACTTTTGGGCACACTGTGGAACAGCTTGGGGCGTGTGTTTAATTCTTGAAACTGTTCTTGTTTATCTATTATCTGCTAAGGCAAATTACTTCATCTCTCACTCCCCCACCGGGAAAACAAACCTATGAAATAAAAATCTGCTTAAAACGAAGGCTAGCATACAAGACAGACAGCACTGAGTTAAAATAATCAGCTGTCTTTAATTAAAAAAAATAGACACATTAAAGGAACTCAAACAGTGATTTCATACTCAACCCTCGCTGACGTCAGTCGGAGCAGCCAGAATGTCCCCATGGCAAGATGTGAAGAGACTCACTTTTAAAAATATTTGCAATTTGGAAGACAGACTATGTATCAGGACAGAACCAATTCACAGAGCTTTTCTCACCAACTGTTTTTCAAGGTTCCGCTCTCGCTTTGTGTGAACAAGGCCAGGACCTACTGAAGTCTAGCTATTGCTTTTACTAGTGCCAACTGCTAGTGTTTCATTTGTACACTTAAAGTCAAACCTTGTGCACTATTTGCTGACAGACAGCAGCATGCTGGGTGCAGTAGTGCATTGCTGATAACTGTGCCCTCTGTGGTGCCCACTATTTAACGTTTTTCTCACGGTGAGGCGTTTTGCAGTGATACCTCTTCCTGTAGGGAGGAGAGGGCACATTTCCCGTGCCCTAAATGTGTGTTTGGGAGAGGCCAGGCCAGCCCACCCTGGGCGCACGTGAAATGGCGACCCTGCCCCCAGGGGGGGCAACGGCTGCCCTGGGGAACGCAAAATGGCGGCCTTACCCTGGGGGAAAGGGGGCAACGCCTGCCCCGGGGCACGCGAGATGGCGGCCTTGCCCTCGGGGGGGGCAACAACTGCTCTCCTTCACGCGAGATGGCGGCCTTCCCTCAAGGGATCGATGGCCACCTCAGGGGGGCAACAGCTGCCCCGGGGCACACGGGATGGCCGCTTTCCCCTCAGGGCCACCGGCTGGCCTCGCGGTGCGCGAGATGGCAGCCTTCCCTCAGGGGTGCGACGGCGGCCTGCGGGGAGCGCGGCACGGGATGGCGACCGCCCCCTGGGGTGCGATGGCCGCCCGGGGCGCTGA